TCGTCCTCCCCGCGCGCTAGTCTGGACGCTCCCCTGCCGACATCAAAGCCCTTTCTCGCAGCCCCGTTATTCCTCGTGGGATCAGGTTTACCGAGGCTGCCGACAAAGGGCTTTGATGTTGGCAGGGGAGCATCCAGACTAGAGCGCTGAGTGGACAAACAGCTGATCAGCTGTTTGTCGGCTCAGCGCAGCAGCCATGTAAATTTAAATGAAGCCGCGATCATTTAAATCGCGGCTTCATTTGCCTTTGCCTATGTGTCTAATCTACATGGCACCATCGATGGAGCCACGTTGTCTAGACACAGCCAAACACAACACACCAAGGCACCCTGTTCTACCCTCCCATCCTGAAGCTGGCTTCCAGAGCTTGATGCTTCTGCTCAGCCCTCTCCCAGACAGGCAGCACCCAGACCGACCAGCTCCCCAGAGTCTCAATCAGGCAGTGGACACGCACCCATCAGCCCTCTGCCCAACCCCCTCCTTCAAGCCCTTCCTATTCGATGCTCAGCATCAAGGTGGCTGCAAGAAGGCTCGTCTTCCCGCCCAGTACGTGAGGAGTCTTCTGACTGGACTCCAAGGCCTCGGCTGCTCACCGGGGCTTGCGCATCCTCCTGGGCTTGATGTCGTCGGGATTGTGAGCCGATCTGATGTCATAGCCGTAGAGGGCGATCAGCTCCTGCCTGCTTTTGGGGGCTTGCTCATCTTCCCGGAATTTGTCATGCTCCCAGCGGCCCTCATCCTTCCAGAGCTTTCGCTGGCGCCCCTTTGGCCTGGCACAGGGAGACAGAGACTCAACAGGCCTTTGCAAACCAAGGCTGGAGGGTGGAACAGGCAGTACAGAAGCCGCTCCTTTCTGGGAAGGGTGTGCCTAGAGACCGCGGAACATCTCCCCTCCCCCAACTCCATTCGCAGCCTTTCAGGACTCCGAGAGACCCTGTCCTGCCAGCCCAAGAGGCAGATGGGAACCCACCCCTTTCCATCACAGGTCAGCGGCAGGAGGCTCAACATGGGCTTCCGTAGCATTACCAGTCCCTGCTGCCTTAGGAACATGTGGAACCAAAGCCAGTCCTGGCACAACATTACCACGAAGCAACCAGGCCAGCCCATGCCGCGTATCCCAGGTCTTACAAAAATCGCCCAGTCTGCCAGGTATTTCACATGGAAGCCAAGGGCTGTGCTGGCTCAGGACTCAACTTCTCTGTAGCCAGCGACGTTTCACGAGTCCTACCTGACTTCCTCCTCCTGGGTCTGCCCGCGGAGATCATGTTCAAAGAAGAGCCCTTTGCGGGGTATGTAAGCAGGGTTCTTCCGGTCCTCGTCGTCATCCAAGTGCTTGGGGACCTTTTTCCCCACTTTATTCTCAATTGGTTCAGTGCTCTCCTATCAAAACCAGAGAACTCATTACACTGCAGCAGCCTTTCCTCATGCAGCCATCCTCCCTCCGGGGGTCACACTGCACACAGGAGATAGCTACCTGCCCATCCCCGCTCTGTCTCTCGCCCGTCACAGAACCTTTGGGGGCAGGTTTCTCTTCCCCTTTCTCTGCTTTTCCTGTGGATTCAGTGGCATTGCTGCTCTCCTGCTTCAGCTCCACCTTGGCGCTTTCCTCCTCGCTGTACTCCCCCTCCTCGGCCTGCAAGCAAACATCCAACTGCTGAGACAAGATCACAACTCTGGTTAGCAACAGATCCCCGGGTGAGTTTCAGCCTATGTGTCTAGATCCCCACAGCTCCAACCAGCCCCCTATCCAGACTGATTCTCCACCAATACCACAGAGCAGCCCAAGGCCAATGGCAGCCAGCAAGGCTAGGAGAAAGCAGAGCAAACGTTCAAGAAAAATCACAGCTCAACCAGAGCCTCCGAGTTCTACGCTGGGGAACCTTTTGTACCGCGCCATGAGGGAAGCTACCCCAGAGGGGGCTCATGCCGTCAGGCTCCACGGCGCACATGGACCTGCTCTGCTTTCCCCCATGGAAGGGCTGGCCTCTGCCACACCTGTGTTTCTGAACTCGCTGGAGCTGTGTAGCTGGCTGACTCCGAGCACTCTGCTCACAAGCATCTGACCTCGTTTCACCCTCCGGGAGACTGTGAGCCTTGCTCTGCCTGGAATCGACACTAAAAATAGCATTGGCACCACTACCAAGACGACTGCTCTCGTTTCTCTGTCAATGCTGCATGTGCACGTGTCAATTGCTGCTCCTTCGATTTGTTTGGGACACACACGTTTTGTGTATAGTGAGGCACAGTGGAAGACGAGAGCTGCTCATAGCTCTCCCAGCACGGCCGGTACACTTGGAGTGGTTGGATGTCAGAGGAGTTAGTTCAGTTGCTCAGGAGCTATGGTTACTGGGTCCCTAGAGACCCAATATCTATATTTTCCAGAGTCAGCTGCAGCTTGAACACAGGCCTCTGCAGACAGAATAGTATCCCGAGTGGGTGGAAAAGGCACTCCCTTCCACATTCTGATCTGGCTTTAGAGTCTGCAGCAGCCCCCAAGCACTCACTGCAAGGAATGAGATGTGGAAGTGATGGTGTGCCAAGCCCCTTCCCCGCCCATTTCTCTGCCCCCTTCTCACCTCTCCCTGCTGCTCGTTTTGAGAGCATGGTTTTCCAGACACTGAGCCATGTATCACCCCACCCATTTCAGGAGAGAAGTCTCTGGCACTAGAACTGCCATGGATTTACAGCAGGTGATCATGGCCACTAGACGTCCCGAAACACCCCTCAGGCTCCTAGTCCTGCTGTCACTAAGTGTCCATGAAGCACTAGGCCAGAGTTTGCTGTCCAGGCTGCCTTACTGAACAAAACAGCTGGCCCCAGCGACATGCCCAGAAGGGATTACTGACAAGAAACGTTCTCTGTTGTGAGCCGTGCGGGGCCAGGCCTCACTACTGGACACAGCTCAGCATCTGCATTCCTCTTTCAGCCAAAGAACAAGCATCTCGGGTTCATTACTTGTGTGTGAGTTACAGCTAGTCAAGACCTAGCAAGTGCTCTAATCCTCTGCTGATCGTTTGAAGCTGGGCCCCTGGTCTGCACCATTTGCTTTCACAGAGGAGCCAGGCCTTAGTTATTTACATCTCCCAGTGCTGCTTGTTGGCAGTTCAGGGGGACATTGCTTGGACCCAAAACCCAGGCAGGTTAAGACAGGCTAGACAAAATGCTAGATTCAAAGGCTCCAAGGCCAGGGTCAGTAGGCCCCCACAAGGCATATGAGCTGTTCTTTATGTTAAGACAATGCAAGAAACAGAAACTAGGTGTCAATATAAAGAATACACTCACCTCGGAGTCTTCTGCACTTTCGTAATCCGAGAGCACAGCTAAGGAAGAGAAAGCAGGCGTTTGGCACACATGCTGCAGAAGTGGTGTTTTCTCCAAACACGAATTAGCTTTGAATTATAACACTTAGAGCATCACTCGTCAACATTCCTGTGCACAGACACACAGCATTCAAACCACACGCGTACTAAGCACCCGTATTAAACTGGCCCTCAATCTCCCTGCTGAAAAGCACTGCCGTTAGACCAATGCTCCATCCAGCCCAGCATTACATGCTTCAGACACTCCTGGAGCAGGGGACCAGACAACTGGCCTTTCAAAATGGCCTCAGAGTATGCATTTTTAATAGCTAACGATTCTGTGCTTTCATAGCTTCCCTTCTCCCTCCCAGGACAGCCCAAAGATACTTATTACTCACCGTCTCCTTCGATGCCATCTTCACTTTCCTATTGAAAGAGAGACACACACAAGCATGTTACTGGATGTGTAAAATTTCCAGGAAAATTTCAGTGACTTGCCTATCAGATGTGACCTCGCTAGACATCTAGACAAGCTTTTGACAAGAGCCGGGTTGGGGAGATGCCTGTGACCCTGGCACACAGGAGAGTCATCCTGGAAGCTTACATTTAGAACAAACATGGATCTAAGAACTTGTACAAGAGTTTTCCTGAAAATGCATCCAGTTGCATGCACAAGGCCGGCCAGACTGAGGGAAATTCAAGTCCTCCAGGCAAGAAAAGGCAGTATGGAGAGGAGGGGTTTAAAGTGTGGTTAGTCAGTACTGATCTTTAGGGGAAAGAGGCCTACACAGAAATGATGAGCTCCCTTAATAAAATAAAACTAGAATCAGACTGCTGGCTCAGAAAGTTACTGGGGGATTGCTGGAAGCTGGGAATGGGTGACGGGATGATTACCTGTTCTGTTCATTCCCTCTGGGACACCTGGGCTTTGGCCACGGCCTGAAGACAGACTCCTTGGCTAGACAGACCTTTGGTCTAATCCATTCTTATGGATTATTTAAATTAGTGGCTTTCCCCAGCCTCCATGTGCTGAGGAGCACCAAACTCTCACAGCTGCTACAGATGTCAGAAACATAAATGTTAACTTCTGTCTTTATGGGATAGAGAGTAAGACTGAACTGGAGGAGGAGATCAGATCACAGAGGTAAATTCTGGAAAAGAACCAGAGTATCAGACTAAAGGAATTTAATAAAATAGGCTCATGCTCAAAAATTAAAAAACTGTGTATATAATAATGTAAAGGCTAAAAGCAAAAACAGGTGAACTACAAATATACCTGAAAGCAGAATAGGAACATGGTGTAAGAGGTCCGAGGGAATAAGCTACACGGCTATAAACTACACAGGAAGAACAATTAAACTGGACAGATGGGCAGAGCATTATCCTAAAAGACTTCAGAAAAGTCTACGAGGGGTGGGGAACCTCAGGCCTGGGGGCCAGATGTGGCCCTTGGCTTGCCTGGATCTGGACACTGAGACTCAGGGTTACCCCTAACATTGGGGAGCCTGTGCTGGTGCTCCAATCCAAGCCTCTCTGTGGGGACAGAGCACACACAATCTACTAGGCTGGGGGCCCAGTGGGGGAGAGAGAATTTCCACTGCTTACTTGTGTGTGGCTGATTTTTCCATGGGTCAGCAGCCCCTGACTCAAAAAAGGTTCCCCACCCCTGCTCTAGGGTAATAGTACTGGCCTGCCCATGAAGAGTCAATGACAAACACAAAGAAGAAAGTCTGTAAACATGTCAGAAACAAGAAACCAGAGAGGGAAATGCTAGGTCCACCAAAGGCATAGGCAAGGAGTATTTTCAGCTGAGATTTACACTGTGTCTGAAACTTATAAACACCGTGGCATTCATTCAGCTGACAATCTATGAAAACACAAGATTCAATTTTAACACCCTTTCACTCAACATCATTTTACCTGACAGAACCCATTTCAACCATCCTGATTGTTTTACATTTCTCTGAAATCTGAGAAATTTATTGGCTGAGCTATTGTCTTGACGACCAAATTAAGCTTTGCTAACTAGCTCGAAAGTTTCAGGAGAAAGGGCTGCAGAGTGACCAGATGGAGATATTCATCTAAAAGTCCAGCCCCAAACCACCTGCACTAACTCATTTTGAACACCAGAGTCTGCATAATCTGTATTGCCACAGTGGAAAGACAGATGAGGAAAGATGTGGTCCTGGAATGAAAAAGATTATTGATGCAGAATTTTTCAAGTCAATCTAACGGTAGTTCCAGACCTACTGTAATGTATAAAGATGTGGCAAGGAGGGTCACTTGGCACATACTCTTTTGCCCTTTGTTACATTGCCTGTCTGTATCAAGGATTGAAGTAAATTCTGTAGCATGTGCACGAGGAAAGGACAGGAGAGGAGTGTGTTGATAAGATCTTTGGACACGGATTAATAAAGCTAAATCCCACTGCGCTGCCGAGATCCTTTTGATAAGGGGCTGAGCGGGGAGGTGGAATCCAGGGCTCCTAATCAATTCCTCTCTAAATACGTCCGCCTTACTGGTCTGGAGGAGGGCAATTTAGCAAGATTTTTAAGATGCGGGGCCGGTAAGCTTGCGGCCTGCCCACGCGCTTCGCACTGCAAAAGGAAAGTGACTAAAAACAACAAGCGAGAGAGGAGGCTCAGTCACACAAAGCAGCTGCCCCCACGGCCCTGCCGCCACCGCGGCGACGAGCAGACAACAGAATTCGAAGACATCGGCCCCAATGAGTTTCTCCCCAGGGTCAAGCCGCGGAGGGGGGGGGATATTACGTTTGGGTGGCAA